ATCTCATGTCTATGTAACATTTTTTTTTTTCATTATCTGTTTGCCTTTACATGGATAAATTTTGTGTTCAGATATATTATCTTTATCTTTTCGAAAAAAAAAAACTATCTGAACACARCACTGTTTATGAGATAACGTCAACGTTAAAATAAATAAAATATTATTCCGAAAAAAAAAATGAATGTAAAATAATATCGTACTTTTATTTTCTGATTGATTTGCATGCTAACGGAATTGCCATCGTAAGTCCATGAGCCGAGTCTCAACGAACAGGTGTGCTCTCCGAACGGCCAATTGGTCAAGTCTACGTCGCAAAAAACTCGGAACTTGGCTGGTGGTATCCAATGGACCATGCCATCCGAACGGACAACGCAGTTAATCTTCCCATAAGTCTCGTCCTGATGTCCGTCAGCACTGCAAAACAGAAATCAAATCAATATTGTCGATACATTCGATTTAGATTTAACATTTATCGATAAGATCGTCAATATAAAAGGCTGAAATATTACAGTGTAAGCGAAATTCGATTATTGCTAAACTGAAAAATCTTGCTTGTTATTGAGCATATTTTGTTTGTTTAACCTAACCCATTTGGCCAATTATGTGTTCAACTCTACATTTATATGTTCTCCAGGAACATTTTTCTGATTACGTGAATGATCGATTAAATTAAGAAAAATAAGAACTTTACTGACTATATCTATAATATTATTAGACGTAACATAAGTAGTAAGTGTGTGTATGTATGCTATGTATAAAACTAAAGTGTTTAATTTTAATGCAAAATATATCCTATAATAATTATTAAAATGTTTGAATAACTCTGTTTTGCAAATACATAACTTTCTTCGAACTGACCAAACACTTGAGTAACTATTAAAAAACTTAAAGAATACTTTTTACATTTTTATAAGAATACATAATTCTGAGAGAGTTGTTTTTTTGATAGTATATAAACCCAGTAACTGATATCTACTTAAGCATAGTTTATAATAATATTATGTTCTTTAATATTTAAAATAGTGGTACCAACGTCGAAAAAAACGAATTTGGTAGCCGGAAATCGTTTTACAACATTAAGTATATCATCGTGAGACACTAACSACGAAAACATAAGTCAAAAACCAATCTTTATGCGTTTTTTATCCAGTTTTGCAATATTTGACTAAAGGCGATTCCTACCTGTTGTAGGCCACAATATCGGGCATCCATATTTCATCATAAGCCATGTTTACAACTTTTGTGCCTCCATAATCTGATACATTCCAYAGAAGTTTTTCATCTTGCCAAGTCTACGAAAGTAGGAGTACGAAAGCATCATTTTAACAATAGTTTACCAGTAAAAATGGCGAGCTTTAAGGACCATTTTGGTCGAATTTTTTAATACGTTTTTATCTCCGAGTAAACCCAAAAACATTTAATTAAGAAATACCCGTGAGATTAAAAATAAAAAACTTTCTAAGTCCATCTGTATTAGTATATTGTAATATTAAGATCGATTGTCGACCCATCATAGACATTAAACAATTGTTTCTTGAGTATTTAGACACAATATAATTCGATAGTTACACTGCAAAAGGTGCTAAGCGAAATTGTTCGATAAGTTTTTGGTAGAATCAAAAAACCTTTTCTTATTATTTAATTTTTTTTATATAAGCAATAACTTTTTTTCTTTTTTTTCGTCTATTTGAACATATTTTACATAGCTTTGTATTTCCGATTATAATTTCATGGTTTTGAAAATTTAAATACATATATTTAATAGTTTGGGAGCTTTTACCCAATTTTTTTTATGTTATTTATTAACRAACTTATCTTGGTATCTATTTTGGTATAATTATTATTATTTATGACCTATATTATAATATAATACTTTATAACCATAAGAATAAATTATAAAGAAATATTTTCTTGAAAAAATAATATAAATATAAATTTTTATGAATAACGTTTGTTCCCTATACATTTCCTATAATATCGTTCCTTTTTTGAGAAGTCAAAAAATAAATGTTTCAATAACAATAACACAAATTTAAAATTCGTTTTTTTTAGATAATGGTCACAGATTTTTTGCGCATACGCATTGGAAACTCATAATTTTCTCCATCCAATAATATGATAAACCATGTTACTCGGAATCTATGAGTCGATTAGACCATTTTGTCGTGTAACCATCGATGATAAGAATATTGTATACTTACCATCGATACCCAGGCGTTGATGGTCATGATTGAACTTTGGAAGTCCTGCAAACATATACGTTTTACAAATAATTGTAATAATATATAATTATATTTATTGACTTCAAGCAGATGGAAAACATAATGATAGTTATTTCTTAAATTTATGTTATCAAGGGCGTTTTCCACAAGAGTTTACTAATTCAAAATTTGCTGAATAATTCATATAATTCAACGTTAYATTATTATACCATTAAACATCGGCGTTGCTATTTTTAACTAGGTATACAGAGGAAGCAAGATTTATACACATATTTTATATATGATTTTCATTCGACGAAAATTC